AACAGATTTGCTATTCTCGATTTTATTTTATGATTGCACTTTTTTGTAGAGATTATTTATGCATTTAAGCTTTTAAACTGGTTTATATATTTTCTGTTTCTGGAAAAATGAAAAGATTTATTAAATTATTCTCTGATTGGTTAAATTTTCTTTTAAGTACATTTACTTGCAAGTAAATGTACTTAAAAGAAAATATAACCAATCTTATTTACTTGCAAGTGAAAAAACTAAAAGCTATTGGTGGGAATTATTTTAAAAGATATATACGAAACATAATAACAAAATAAAACTATAATTACTTACTTTTTATGTTGTTATATTTTAATCTTGAAACAATTAAAATGTTTTAAGATGCATTTTTTTAGATTTAGATATAAAATTTAACGATTTTAATTTAAATATTCTTTTTATTATTAATTGGTCATTTATATTTTTTAGGTTAAATGTTTGATAATATAACTTTTCATATAATATAACTTAATTATTTATTTTATTAATTTAATTAAATTAATAAGATAATAATTTTTTTTTAGATTATTCAGTGTTGAGTTACGACTAAAAATAAATATAAAGGGAAAAGAAAAAATGTTCTTTAACAACAAAGATTGCAATTGATATATTAGAGTTAAGTAGTGTAATTTATGGTGAGATGAATTATACTTATCTGTCTTATTGTTTTATATTAAATTTACAATTAGAAATGTATGCATTGATATTATTAAAATTATAAATGCAGTTATGGTCAAACGGAACAATGGATCAAACAACGGATCAAAGCTGGATCATAAATCCATAAAAATTATAGCAATTAAGTTGAAAAATGCACCTGCAGAGCTATGACTTTCGTCAAAATAGCATTAAATTATTGTATATATATATATATATATATATATATATATATATATATATATATATATATATATATATATATATATATATATACGTATATTATTTAAACAGAAAGAAAAAATCAAAATAAATTTTTAAGCCATTTTTTGTTTCAATTTCTTTAAAAGACGCAATGTGACTTTGCTTTAAAAAGCATCTTAAAAACACGTTTATTTAGATTTGCGTTCTAAACTAAAAAAGACGCACTTTTTACATTTGCTTTTAACATGAAATTTTTTTTTTATAAACTTATTTTTGTTAGAGATAATTTACATATACGTATAAATGACGGGAATTTAACAAGTAATTTCAGATTTACATTTAATATGAGAAGGTGTTATCCTTACATTTTAATACGCGTATTTATAACGCATAAAAAACGTCGTTTTATCTGCTGGACAAGTAAGCCGAAACTTTAAATTAAAATTAAGATGCCAAGACAGTACAAACGAGTGACAAGTCGGTTAAAGTTATAAATTGATGTTAATACAATAAAAAAGCCGGCTGACCAATCTGAATAAAGATTGAAACAAAAGTAAAGATCAACAAAAAAACTTCTTACAATTACTTTTATTTTGAAGTTAGTTATTTAATAACATACATAAATTTTTAATAAGGCACAAGAAGATGAATTTTCAAAATATCTTTGTCCAACATCTAGTTTGCCTTATGGAATTTATGTCAGAGAAACAAAGCAGCCTTCAAATGAATGTGCAATTAAAAATGACATTAAAATACCAGAAAACTAAAGGAGTTAAACAACTGAAAAAGAATGGTTATTTTTACTTAAATCGCACAAAATTATCTATTCGTTTGCCAGAAGCTAAATGCCTAAGTCGAATAATTGCACTAATGTAGATACTTTCTTCAAAAGCCTTGACAGTCTGCAGAAACAATTTAAGTTTTCTGCTGATTGGCTTTGCAGTATTGATGAAACCGTTCTTACAACTACTCATAAGCTAGTGAAAGTGGCATGTTATACATGACTTTTATACAAATCTTCTTCAGTGCAGTTATTAAAACCACAGTTATTGAAAACAGAAGTGCATCAACATGTGCTATAACTAGCAATGATATGAGTGAGCACTTATTGCATCATGCATACAATAGTATTACGATATTATTAAAAATAAATGTATATGCTAGCAGAACAGTAAGAGATGTGCAGAGACTTTTAGCAACGCTTGAAACCTTTTCACTGTCGAAGCTATACGTGGACAGGTATATTTCAAAGCCGAAATCCAAATTTTTGAAACTCAGTTTAACTAAAAATACTTGTTTTCTTTACTAGATTTTCTTTCATAAACCAGACTTATACGACACAAATATGAAGTTAACTATATGGATAAATACATGTAACGACGAAAACAAAAAACAGGAATTTTGTTGTTAAGAGAAGAACCAATAAATGATTAAATCATCCCAGATTTAATGATGCTTCGAGTCTAACAATGCTAAGGAGCTTTTGGATTTCAAAACTTATTTTGTATTATTTACTATTACGAGTGAACATTTGATACTTATGATACTTTACTAGGTACAGTAAAAACTAATGTATGTTGGTCATAGTTAAGTTTTTGTAAACAAAAGATGTTTTTGTAAACAAAATTTGGATTTAGGAATAGTATCAAAAAAGGAACAAAAAAGTGCGAGGAGTGTAGTTACATCGAATGATTAATAGGTCAACATGCAAGGAGCGCTGCTACATCAACTGAGGGTTTGGTTTGGGAAGACAGTCTATTAATTAAAAAAACTGAATCATAATCATTTTTTTAATTTTCGAAACTATTCAATTTTTAATTGTTTCAATGTCAATTATTTTTTTCTAATTTCAACCTTATACTTCTTATAGGATTTTGGTAATATTTCTTTTTTCAAAGTTTCGATTTTATTTTCTATACTTATGTTTTCCGGAAAGTCCCTTTTCCAGTTCAATATAGCTGTTTTGGATACTGTAACAAATTGTTGATACTCAATTAATTGTTAAAATTATTTATAATTAACCTTATCAATAGTAAGATACTAACGCAGAAGCCATTGGAATATATGTAACATCGTCAATGACATGGTTGCTGGGGGCAAAAATTCCTAAAAAAAATTTTTTGTACATTAAAAAAGCAGTAGGGGAGAACTTGCATTCTTGACCCGTAATCACCTTCGATCTTATAGCGTTATCTCTTTACTTACATAACTCATTAAAGAGAACTAATAACCAAGGTGTTGTAAATATTGTACCTTTATAATTAATTGTGTTTTGGTTAAAAAATAGACAACTATTAAATTTATTTTTTAAAAATTTAATTTTGACGACTAAGAATAATTTTTTGGTCGCCGCTTAGCAAGTGAAAAATCATCAGCTTGCTTGTTTTTTAATTTTATTTAAAATGCAAATCATAAAACTTTGTAGAGGCGATTTTATAGTCGGTAATTTTACGAATTTATTCAGCTAGTCGGTAATATTACACAATTCAGTCAATTAATATTTTTTTTCATAGCCAGTCGGTTCTATTTGAGGACTCACCCCTCCCTTCACTTTATTTGTAGAATCGCCTCTGATTCTAAAGACTTTAAATTCTATATATAAACATGTAGTAAATTTTCCTTGCACAAACCCAACTTAGTTGAAAACAAAGTTTAAATGTAAAACTAAAATAACATAAGCATCTTAAAAATGACACATAGGCAACAAATTTCCCCACGTTTTTTATAGTTTTTAAAAATGGTAGCTTCTTTGAAAATCTCTTTTGTATAACATTATATATCATCGTTAGATATGTTTGTAAATAACTATTATAAATCTTCAGAAGTATAAAGTGTTTTGAAAAATCTTAAAAAATAAAAAAAAAACGTTGCCAGTGGTTGGACTCGAACCACGGCTTACATGTTCATAAGCATGGTGCGCTATCCATAGGGTAACACTGGCAAATTGTGATGTGAAGTTTTTAAAACTATATAAGAATTATTTTAATGGAAAAAATATTATATTTCACGTGCTTGACGTAATGCAACTTTCATATGTTAAATACGAATATAAAGTTTAATATGAAGTTTAATAATATGAAATAATATGAAGTAATATAAAGTTTAATATAAAGTTTACGTACGTACGTACATAATATGTTACGTACGTACATAATATGTTACTTACGTAAATAATATGTTACGTACGTAAATAATATGAACTTACGATATGAAATTAATATGAACGTACGATAAAAGTTAAACATTCGCTAATGTTTTCTTAAAAAGCAAAGCTCCGACTCTCTCTCGTTTAAGCACTAGAATTTAAAAGAATTGATCTATAATGTATTTTTAGAAGGCAAACGCCAATAAAGAAACAAAAAATTGTCACGTATTATTTTCAAATTTAGTTCTATTTCCTATTACATCAATATACTCACAAATGATGTTCAAAATATATTAGTGTTACATTTACTAAGAACCATAAAAGCGAACTGAATCTTTATCAGCAGGTAAAAAATAACAAAGATTTACAAATCTTTTGTATTAATTATGATATCTTCGATTTTACGCACTTTAGAATTAAACAGACAAATCAATCGATCCATGATTTGTTTTGAGGAAAGCCAATCAAAAACCAAAATATTGTCAAGTTCTATTATTAAATTTGGTTCTTTTTTTTATTACATCAATGCATTCATAAATGATGCTTAAAATATATAAGTGTACATTTATTTAAAACCATACAGACGAACAGAATCTTTATCATCAGGTAAAAAATAACAAATATAAACATATTTTTTGTATTATTCATATCTTCCATTTTACGCACTTCAGAATTAAACAGACAAATCAATTTTCTAGTCCTCGATTTGTTTTTAGAGGAACACTAATCGAGGATCAGAAAATTTTTGATATTCTACATTTGGTTCTTCTTCTTATCACTTATTTAATTTGTAATAAATGCATTCATAAATGATGCTCAAAATATATAAGCTTCACATCAATGTTTTCGTATTTGATTAGCGCAATATTTATTTAGAAATAAACAAGCAAACAGAACCTTTATTTTCAGGTAAAAAATAACAAATATATAAAAATATTTTTGATTAATTATGATATCACCTAATTTGGGCAATTAAAACAGACAAATCAATTGATCTATGACTTGTGAACGCCAGTCAAGGACCAGAAAAATGACAAGTGTAAATTTCGCATTTGTTTTTTTTTTATAACGTCAATGTATTCATAATTGATGTTCAAAATGTATTAGTGTGGCATCAATGTATTCATAACTATTAATCAAAATTTATTAGCGTAACATTTATTTAGAACCATAAAAGCAAACGGAATCTTTATGAGCAGGTAAAAATTAGGAAAAATTTACAAATCTTTTGTATTAATTATGATATGTCCCATTTTATGGCCAAAAAACATTTAAACCAATTGTTCTATGATTTGATTTTAGAAGGCATACGCTAATCGAGGACCAGAAAATTGTCAAGTAAAAATTTCACATTTTTTTCTTTTTCTTAATATATCAATATATTCAAAACTGATCTTTAAATTAATTTAGTATAACATCAATGTATTCATAACTAATATTCAAAATATATTAGCGTAACATTTATTTAGAACCATACAAGCTAACAGATTCTTCTTGATCATGGTGAAAATAACAAATATATACAAATATTTTGCATTAATTATGATATCTTCGATTTTACGCACTTTAGAATTAATCAGATAAATCAATCGATCTATGAATTTTTTTAACGTAAGTAACGACAATCAAGGACCAGTCATATGTCAAGTATATATTTCACATTTGTTTCTTTTTCTTATTACATCAATGTATTCATAACTGATGTTTAAAATAAAACAGTAACATTTATTTAGAACCATACAAGCAAACGGAATCTTCATGAACAGGTAAAAAATTACAAAAATATACAAATCTTTAGTACGAATTATGATATCTTTCATTTTATGCACTAGAAACATTTAAACCAATTGATCTATAACTTGTTTTTAGAAAACAAACGACAATCAAGGACAAGGAAATTGTCAAGTATAAACTTCACATTTGGCATTTTTTCTTATTACATCAATGTATTCATAACTGCTCTTCAAAATATATTAGTGTAACATCAATTTATTCATAACTGATATTCAAAATATAATAGTGTAGCATTCATTTAGAACCATTCAAGCAAACGAATTCTTTATCAACAAGTAAAAAATAACAAATATATACAAAACTTTAGTATTACTTACCATTTATAAAATAAATGCTACTTATGAATATAAGTAGCATTATTTTATAAATAGTATAGAAAAAATACTGCAACAGCAGCTTAGGTATAATATGTTGATTTTAACTTTATCTTGCAGTACTGTAATTTTTACATTTAATGTCTGTTGAAATTTTGTATTTATTATAATAAATGTTTATTTTTCTGTAACTCCTCCACACGTTGACTGAGTTTTTAAACAAGAAGGCCGTAGTTCGAATCCAATTACGGGTGACTTTTTTCTAATTTTAATAAAATACTTGTGAAGTTTTAGACAAATTTTATTTAAAGTTTTATAAAGTTTTATAATAACATATATCTTTTTTTTAATTTTTAAATACTTGCTAAGTTTTTGAAAATTATATACAAACATATCTAACGCTGTTATAATTATTAACAAACAAAAAGGTTTTTAAAAAAGCTATAATATTTTTAAAATAATATTTCTTGTCATAATAATTTTTATTTTTTTAGACAAAATATGTGCCAAACATGAATTTAATTTAGGAGAAAGCTCGTGTTATAAGAATTACAAATATTATAGGGCTATCTAACAATAGGGTCCCAAACCGCCTCAAGTGTAAAAAGCCCTACAACGTACTTTTAAAAATTACTATATAACTAATTATAAAACTTATGTATTTTGTACAAAACATAAGGGTTTTTATAATGATATTCTTACATATTTAACACATAGAAGCAGAATTTTTCAATTTCTTTTTTGATTTTCGCAATAAATAGAATATTTAAAGAAATTAAAAATATAACCGTTTAACTCTAGGCAGAACAAAGTTATTCAAAACAGCTAAACATTTTTCTGTGTCTGCTCACCAAGTAGTTTGTAGAATAGTCATAAAGAGTAAAATTAAAATTTAAAAAATGTAGCTAGCGCTAAAATTCAACAAAACTTTAAGTTATTTTTCTAATTTATATATAAAATCCTAATATTTTTTATATATAACTTTCTTACAATCAACTTTTTTTAAATGACACATCCTAATATAGAGTCATTTAATAAAAAGTCGGGTTATGTTCTAAAATAATTGTGAAGAGGTTTTGTAAAACTCTGATAAATTTAGCAATTACCATAAAGCCGTTGCAACTAGCCGTTGCAAACGATGCAACGTTGATGAGAGCAATAAATCTTTTTGTTTTCCTAATCTGTGAGAATTTTTTTTTTTTTAAGACTAGGCATTTCAACTACTTTTGATAGATTATTGGGTATGTAGTCATTGGCTTTTTTATCCCTAACAGGTAGACCTTTTTCTTTTTTTCTTGCTCGATATAAAGTTTCAAGAATATCTGATAGTTTTTATGTAAATCGCTAATTTCTTCAGATGCTTCATCAAAATCATATGTCAGAGTTTTAATTTTTTTATTTCACGTACTTCTGAAACAGCAAAAGCCCTTTTACAATTAATTTCATCAGAAGGTTTTAAAGATACTGTATCAGGGGTTGAAAGGATAGAATTAGTGTTATTGTCAGTAATATCATTTTCATTAATATTATTTTTTACATGATTATAGGAACCATTCATATACAAGTTATATTATAGGAACCATTCATATACAAATGCATTGTATATGAATGGTTCCTGTAATATCAAGTCATTTTTAATGTCAATATTAAGAAAAGGGGATTCCCTATATAAAAATGATAATGATTGCCAAGACCAAGCCTGTGGATATTTTCTAAATATTAGGAAAAAATGCTTGCAAAGGTAGGCTGATTGCGACCAGGCAACACAGGTACATTTTGGCATTGTATCTTTATCTCCAAAATAAACAATGTAGTTTTTATTTTTATCTGAAAAGCTATTGGCTTTAAACAATCCATGATCGTTTAATAATACTACATCTAAGTCAGTTTTGTTAGCCAAATCAATTTTCTGCAAACAATGCTTAACAAAATGATGTGGCCTATTATGTAAGTATTCAGGGATGTTGTTACTATAACGTCTGTATTGACAATTCATTTTGAAATTGGACTCTGAATTACTAAAGTGTATAAACAAAAAAAATATATTTTTTCAATTGCATTGAAGTTGAGAGCAGTTATAATTGACAATTAAATACTTACTGTTCTAACTTATCTGAAAAGAATTCTTCAATCACAGTTAGCATGTTTGAATGATTCGTTTTGTCGTTCAATCCCATTGTTAGTATTTAAATTTGCTAACAATCGATCACGGCGATAAACCCATATCCATTTCTAGGCAAAATAAAATAAGTGTATCAATTAAAATTGTATACATAAGAAAACAAACATTAATGTGAAAAAAAATAATGCCTAAAGACTCAGATAAAAAGTAAAAAAATTATCAATAATATAGACATAACATTAAAATAATGTTATCATTAAGTTATGACATTACAATCGACATATATATTGCAATCGAGATCATAAAGAGAGATTTATTAAGCTGTATTAATAGTAAGGTAAATAACATAATTACTTCTTTAATACTTTACCAATAATTTGTAATATATTTCTTAAATTTATCAAATTTTTCTTCTACCCAAAAGTTTGAGGAATGTAGTGACTCAATAGCAGCTTTTGCCTGATCTTCAGTTTGTGCTGTGGCAACACAACGCAACAATGAAATTATGCTGCCTTTATATTCAGAACAGCCATTTTTGATTTTGGAAAGCCAGTGATCCCATGCCTGCTCTCTATGAAAATCGCATATGATAACTCGACAAGCTAAAGAATAATCAGCACTATTCATAAAGTTATTAGGCAATAAGTTGTAATTTATTTTTATTATGTAAAATTTTTAAGCAGTTATTAAAAAAATATTAATTTGAACAGAGATTCTGGACAAATATAAACCTTTTACCTAGAAAA